AAAGGTATGGATAGCTTACATTGTTTGAGACAATTGATTAATATAATGAAATATGACACCGCTTGACCTGTCAAAAGGTCATAAATAGTTGTACAATTTCGCTAAAACTATATTTGACTAAAACTATCGATAGGTATTAGGAGATATTGTTTCACTGAATCGAATGGTGGTATTTTCATCTACATAGCGTGCACCAAACAGGAGATATGAACAGGCAAAGTGTCATAGTACGTGCACATACTACGTTTATAGGGGCCTGCTTTTAAAGAGTTAAACACTGTTTTTCAGGGGATCAGATGCATCTGGAAAGAAATCATTTAGAAAATTGTATGGTGAACTCAATTAATTTAAATGCCTTCTTGACCCAGAAACGAAATTCGCCTTGTTTACAGCAACTGTAACTCAACAAACCAAGATGAAAGTAATTGGGATGCTTGATATTGATGTATCTGAAACACTTTTTATTGAAAAAAACCCTGAACGAAAAAATATCAGGTATTATGTTGAGTATGTGGAAAGTGATAAAGAAGTCATTGGCATGTTCTATTCAATTATTAATGAATTAATAGAAAAGAAAGAAACATGTTTCGGAGACTTATATATACTCAAACACAGAACCAATGTGCAACAATTTATAATGCATTCTGCACGGACCTAGGAAATAATATTTATCTGAACTGTGAAGCAAATCCCAGGTTTCGCCTTGTGGATATGTTTCATGGTGGAACACCATAAAGTGTAAAAAAGCATATTGTTGCACAACTGGCTATCCCCGACAGCTGTCTCAGGGTTGTTATATGCACTGTTGCTTTTGGTATGGGTGTAAACTGCAGCAATGTAAACGCGTCAATTCATTTTGGAGCACCAAAATCCTTGGAAGCATATATTCAAGAAAGTGGAAGAATTGGACGTAATGGTAGCACTAGTATCAGTAGGATTCGATATAATGCAATGTTGCTCAGAGGAGCAGATCATCAAATGAGAAACTACATTAAAGAAACACAATGCAGGAGACATAGTCTTATGAAAAAGTTTGAAAATTATAAGCAAGAGTATTCAAGTGGTTGCCAATGCTGTGATAACTGTGCAAAGTCCTGTACTTGCACTCAAAGTCCTGGGTGCAAATGAACACTACTACAACCAGGCAAACTAGTGTCAAGCCAATAATAAAAACACAAAATGTTTCCCCTGAACAGAAGAAGTAACTTCATACACTTCTCCACGAATACAGGGAGACACTGACTCAACATATAACAGTTTCTCTACCAAGTCTATACACTGAATTCTACAGCTTCCATATTAACCAAGTTTTAACTAACTGTCAATTCCTCTTTACACTTGATGATGTATACCATTATGTGGAAATATAGCACAAAGTTTATGCATTGAACATATTATATAGTACAGACAAAGTGTTTGGTGACATAAAGGAAGATATTGGCTCCTTAAATTTGTTGGACATTGACCAGTCAATGGACAGCCTTCCTGATGAATGGATAAGTATTAGGGATGATTCTGAAGACCTTGCATTGTGGGATAGTTATATGCTACAATCTTTTCAGGACTGTTCCCAGGTCACACATGAAGATGATAATGAAAATAATATGGAACAATCTTTAGCGGAATCATCATTTAATGAATGTCAATAGTAAAGCTACAATAATTAATGTAAATCCTCTCTTAACCCCACCTATAGGTACGTAAGTGTGTTATAAAGTTTGGGAGGCGATAGGCTTCATATAGAGCCCAACAATCTTTAGGAAATAATGAGAGGAAACCCAGCTGAAATTTAAAAGGATTTTAGGTTTAATAAAAACCTTCAAAATAAAACAATCGTACACAAACCGACCAACTTGATCAACCTTATAGAACTATCAAAGTTTCCAGATATGATGTTATTAGGTGAACTGCAAATTAGTTTTGTACCAAAAATTCACCTAATGACATCATATCTGAAAACTTTGACACTGAAAAAGTTGATCAAGATGGAATTTTTTATTATGAAGATATATCACATTTCTTCTTCGAATGACCCGAATATTAGACATACCAAAAATCATATTTGGGGTTAGTCACACTTTAACAAATTTATTCCAAATGGCTTCTTGCCCATAACCAGTGGCGTAATGCTCATTCGGTATGGTTAGTTAAAAAACTAAGGGGCCCTTGACATTTGGGGCCCCCATCAGCCATGACCTATAGCCCAGAAAATTAGAAAACGTAAAAAATGCAGGTTATGAATCAAAGGGAAAATCGAAAATTAATAATGTTAAATAATAAAGCCTCCATTGACAACGGTAGCAGATTTTTTTATTCCATATCAAATAAAATAAAAGTTATTTCTATTAGTTGTTAGATGTGTTGAACACTGTAGTGTTGTATACACACTTCTCAAATTCATTAATAATTCATGAGCAATTCAGCCAATGATAATCACCTATTTGATCACAAGTTTGAATAGAATTCCTAATTATGTTATGCTTGGTTAAAAATTCTATTCAAATCAGCAAACAAAAGCATTCTGTTACGTCTTGATTCATTTGAGAAGTCATAAACAACTCGAGCTTGTGTCTCACCGGGATATCCAAACACTCGAAAACAATGTCAATGTATGAAAACATTGTTTTCTCGTGTTTGGATATCCCGGTGAAACACTCTCTCTCATTGTTCATATATGACATACTTGACTGTAACACTAGCTACATTACATGTACAGTAGTATAGTAAAACGATTGTCTAAAAAATGAAATAACCACATAATTCAGACCTTAAATCCTTTGGAATCAACTTCTTCTCTGATGTTGTTAATGTCTTTGTCATCTGACTTCTTTGAACATCTCTGAACAGCTGGACTGGATTCTTAAAGCAATACCGGTATGTTAATACTTATTAATTAAATTCTATCTAAAGCGAGATTAATCTATTGAGCACCACCTGCGCTCTTAGCAGAGAAGCTAGCCTGTGTTCTAGTTCACTACACCATCATTACACAACGGTGTAGTGGACTGGAACACATGCTACAGTGTAGCAGGGTCTGAAATTTATATATTTTCTTAGTATCCAAATGAGAAACCAGGATTCAAAATTTAGTATCCCCCAAGAATCCACTATCACACTTTTGGATACAGGTTGCCAGTACCATAATTATGATTTATCACTTATCACTTTTATATTACCCATTATATTTATTATTCCGCTGTACACACAATGCAAGCCATTCTTAATTAAAATTGGAATTAAGAAACTTACGGGGGCAGTTTTTCATCACAGGAACAGAAAACTTAATTTCCAGATCAGAATGTGGTATTTCTTCAATCAAAGCAAGTCGCTGAGCAAAAATTGCCTTTGATGCATTTGTCAAGCTGGAATTGCCATCATCAGAATCGACTCCCATTTCAATTACTTGAAGCTGTTTTGTTGTGGGGAATGTTTTCTGTAGCTCTATTTTTTGTAGTTCCATCATTTTAAGAATATCATCATGCCCCTGACCAAATTCATCTAACTTCTTATTGAAGTAAATATGTGACACAGCTAAACGCATTGTCTTCAGTCACACCAGTGTTGACTAAAAGATAGTTTTTAAATTAAAACATGTTTTAAAATCAAAATATGCAACAACAAAAAATGTGTAATTAAGCAGGGTTGTTACACTTCAAGGCATTGTAAATCGTAATCAGTTACACCTGCAAATATCATGATGTATGCAATCAATGCAACTTATTTTTATGTTAATGATATCAAAATATTCTCAAGTCAGCATCTGCCATAAAAAATTGGAACTTTAATACAACATACTGCAAATATATTGTACCAGTTTTAAACTGGGAAAATATGAAAGGAATCAAAAAATCCAAACACTTGAAAATCCAAGATTTGTTTTAAAATCGAGAGCGAATTTAAATATAATTTCTTGATTTTATCCATACCGTGGGCAGCTGACAGTCAGAGGCATCCTGTGAAAGCTTTCAACTCAATCACATTAAGCTGTGTCCTCCACAGGTGTCAGCTGCAAATACAGATTAGCACACTCCTATTTTATACTGTACATATGGAATTTGATCCATTGTATATATTTTTAATTGTTTGCTGAAAATAGATTTTCATATTTTTTTAACTGGAACAGCAAATCTATCTAATTGAATAATATAAACTAAGAGACTAACTTACTGTGTATGATGAGTGGTTTATTATCAATGAAATCAATAGCTGAACAACTGTCATTCTCTGTGATCTGTTTTTCAGACATATTGATGCAGCAGTGACAACTGAAGTCTGCCAATAAATATCACTATCCTCTGATCTGGGTTGAGAATGTGGTGTAGATGCTGCTCTTAAGATAGTCCAAAACAAAGGACAACGGTCTTTCATCTCCCCATTGGCTTTTTCAAAAGTGAACAACATCACATCCTCTTTGCTTGTCCTTTTAAATATGCTGCAGATATCTTTTTTCACAAATTTCTTTGTTCCTGTAACTTTGTTGTCATCATCTGACATCTTTTCCCTGATGTTGACAATGGAAATGCAAAAATATTTCTTCTACTTTTTGGTTCTGTTTCTACAGGAATATCATTGCCACTAGCTTGAACCTTTACAGTTTCCCTGCACATTTCCTGGCACTCTTTATTAATCTCTTTTTCAATAAAAGTTATGATGTGAGCTCTTATTAGGGGGTGCTTCAATGCAAACTTCGCCATATTTTTGTTTTGAGTTCTAAGTAGATGAATTGCCAGTTGCGTAAGATCAGGTGGAAGTCTTCTACTACGATAACCACTCGGCCAACACACATGAACATAAGCAACAGTATCGCTTGTACTCGATTCTGTTTCAATTGGAAATGATAAGTTCGTTTGGACTGCTTTACATTCCGTCACTGGCTCGTGTTTTTCATGTTGATTTGGTATACTGTGGCTGACAAAAGCAACTTTCCTGCTGTCAGAAGTGGATTTTGCATATATTTCTTCCAGCTCTTTCTCAATTTTGTTTGCTTTATGCCTCGCTTGTACCCACAACTTCAAACTTCCTCTACACTTTCGGCACACATATTGCGACGTGTCAGCGATTGCAAACGACAATTGAACTAATGCGTCAATAGGCCTAAATTCGCCTGAGCCAGCTACAAAATTTAAATCTTTATGATTTCTCAACTCTAAAGCACATATTCTACAGAAATGAATGATGCCATTAAGTCGATTTCCTTTCAAGTTCACTTGTATATTTTCCTGACACTCCTTCGGTGGCCATGTTTACTAGATTTACATAAATTATGAAATTAACAAAATATGTGCTATGTCATGCATACATTTACCCCATTTTTGTGGACATTGCTGGACGAGAAATTTGAGAATATTGCACAGTCCACACACAATGGTGTAGTGGACTGGAACACGGACTACCACATGTATTCCTGTCCCATCATTCATTGGGGCCCGTACACCACAGGTCACCCAAACTGGAAACTTGAGATTAAACAAAAATCAATGGATTTTAAACAGTATCAAGCATTACTAATTAGTTACTAATGACCTTTCAATAGCACACAAACTGAACTCACTTGGCACTATATAATTATTAAAAACTCAATAACAAAGTATACTATCTTCAGTGACAGTGTCAAGTTTTTTAAATCTTTTATGTTTATATGCAGTGCAAAAAGTGTTGCCAACAATGGCCAAGTCAAATACCTGTATGTATGTTGATCATTCTTTGGGTTTGAAGTGAAGGATCACACTTAAAATCATCAGGAAACTTAAAGGATAATTATAATAACCACACATGTAGTACGGCCAAGGTCCAATGGATGAATTTTCGGTAGGATTATTATAAGAGGTTCCTTTGCTGATGGTCTTCATAGTATATACATACACAGAAGCTAGTATAAGGACAAGTCAAAACACAGTATTGTGAAAGGTAAAAATAATTGTTTATATATATGGTGTATTTGTTTGACTTTTACCGCATCAGCCTAAAATCCAGCTAAATTACGCTTTACCTACAGTATATAGCTTTTTGTATACACTGCTTGTAGTCTAGGCTATATGGAACGGTACAACATATTTGATCGATATTGAGGAACGACGAAAGCCTTCTATGAAGAAAACAAATTACTAATATGATTATATCTGTTTGAGTTTAAACAGTACTTGAATCAATAAAAGTGTGACCACGTTGATTTTCCAAGCCGTTGTAACTTATTCATAACTGAATGCATGCCTAATTTCTCAGTACTCGAGCTTTCATTCAATTTCTTGGTGTAATTTCGAGGATGAATTTTATTTTTTAGGTGTATCAGACTCATATAGCAACCTTTATCCAGATTCGAATTACGGTGCATGGTCTGTACCATAAACGTATATACCGATCAGCTTTTATTTTAATGTCTTACACTAAAGCATGCGCGGGGGGAAATTATCATTCAATATCAATTATCACACAAAGATCACTGAATATTTATCACTCAATATTAAACATATAAGTGGACAAAATAGTGCTGATAGTTTGGTTGCTTAATAAATTCACTGGGACAGTTAGCAGTGTAAGCTGGATTACAGTAAAACATTATTTGATAGTAAAACATTTGCTATCATATTTTTGCTGGTTGAATTGAGTATAACATTACAGTAATTCTGTTTATGATAATGGTGATATACATTAATGATAACCTACAGTGAATATCACAGGTGCCAGTATACTATATGGCATGTTTTACATGGTATATAATAAAAACCTACAAATATAATCGTAATATTGAAATATAAATCTTGTAATTTGAAAGTGTATGATAACCGTTGTAGTCGGGAAACGATGCCGTGGTTTTCTGTGGTCGGTGAAAAAACAGCACAAACCGCAAACTGCACCAACCGTGATTGCAAACTGCATGAACCGTGACTGCAAATTGCGCGAACCTCAACCGCACGAACCACAACTTCTAGTGCTAGGCATGAAGTCAGCCACATCAGACTTTATATGTATTTGGTGCAAAATTCATAAACAATTCAGGTATACAAAAGCTCTTACTAACTTGCCATCTCTCTCATATCCAGGTCGATTTTGATATTTGAAAATATAATGATTCTAAAGATTTTATTGATACAAATAGTCAGGCAGATAGAGGATCAAAATTATGTAAAACTTACCATGTTGTGGGACAATTCCATTTTGCCTTCATACTACTATATAGAATTCTGTCTCTGGTATTGCCTTGATTGATATATCAGACCATCTACCCATCTTTTGTATAAGTGGTATTTCAGCTAACAGAGTTAAGAAGACTATCTACTTAAGAGATTACAGTCCTTTTGATGAGACAAAGTATGTAGACTATATGAATTCAATTAACTGGGCAGGAATGTTCAGTAACCATTAAAACCTGCAAGAAATGACTACTGAATGTATTAATACCATCACACAAATTATTAACAAACATGTTCCTAAGAAAAAGGCATCGCTTAGCAAATTGAAGCACTTAGCTAAGCCTTGGCTATCTAAGGGATTGATTTGGAGATGCAGGACCTTCATCTTCTGCTTGATCTGGTTCACTTCTCAAAAATGTTGATATATCTTCAAGCTATATTAATTTAAATTTTGGAATACTTACCCTAATTATAACAGTAGATCTAGGGGAATGGCTGAAACTCAGTGACATTCATTCTGCAAAATTATCAGAGTGTGATGTAACTCCTTTATGTTTGGGCAAAACATCAGATTACAACATTTGCAAGTTTGCCTAGGTAATATTGACATAGACAATCATAATACTTCCTATAACTTTGAGTCCTTTTGTCATATGTCATTACTGTATTATTATTACTGTTTGGGTGCTTTTCAGACACTTATATTACAGTAGTAAGCATGGGCGTACCGGAAGGAAAAAATTAGGGGGGCGGAAAGAAAATTGCCCGACTTTTCGTAAAATTGCCCGACTTTTCGTGACTGTGCCCGACTAGTACCGAAAAATTTTTCCCGGAAAATTATTCCGATTTATTTTTATAACAAACCAAAATTGCCAGACTGTTAATCGAATATTGCCCGACTGCCCAAAAAACTGGGGGGCTAGCCCCCCCCCCCGCCCGGTACGCCTTTGGTAGTAAGTACTTATAAATTTTGTTCATACAGGTTTAATATATACAGCACTTTAGTTATGTAGTAGCGAGAAATAACAATACAATTTTGTAAAATTGTAGGCTTACCTTCCTTTCAATCTCGTCAGTAGATGGTAGTTGAGGTAAATACCTAATAAAGTTCTTCTTTTTGAGGTTCTGCTGAAGACAATTTTTGCAAATTTGGTTGATCTTTTTCGGTGTGACTTCACAATTTTTTTCATCAGATGAAAATTTTGCAAATGCCCGTGCAAATTCATCGAGGTTGTACGCTCTCAAATTGACAATTCTAGAAGAGCCTTCAAAACCATCTGACCACTCATCATGAAAAGGATTATTACAAGTTTTTGCAAACTTAGGCATTTTACCGTGAGTTAATAAAAAGATGGAATAGCTACAAACTTTGAAAGCGTTTTCTGTTTGGAATGAAAAAAGTTTCGCGCGGGCGGGAAAATAAAACGTTCTAATTTTTTTTTTTTTTAATTCATTAGCGTGTGGATTAACCGACGCTGGTAGACTATTTGATTGAAGTTATATTGAAAATATATCGTTCCTATGCTTGTTCAAAGTCATAGTTGCAAATCAAGAGGAAATAACTAATTTAAAATGCTTGCGAGGCGATTTCGTTCGTGGTTTTGTAAGTCGAAGTGCATTAATATTTAAGCTTGTGCACGGCAAAGTTTGAAGGTTGATAACTTCGTAACAACGCCATAAATAAAAAATTGCCACGAGGAATTTGAAGAGAAATCTTACAAGAACAACATATATAAATTTCATGGAAAAATATTAAAAATAGGTACGCAGTGCGTACATGTTGCATGCCTTCTGAAACTTATGATGCGCTATAGCAGTTATAACCTTTGGTACAACTGGCGTGGAACTTAAAATATTGATTCAACAAGTTTAATAATATCAATATATTTATTGAAAAATAGCTTTTATGTCAAAATAAGAAACTTAAAATTCTCACACGAATAGGCAATGTTTTTATGAGCGACCGTTCATCGTTAGTTGCAAGCGACGATAATAACAAGGTCAAGGTCGGTCAAGGTTTTATCGAAAGCGATTGATTGTTAGATTTCCTTTACAAATTTATAACTAAATATTAAACGTTATTTCCTATAGATTTAGCTTTATTGCAACTTTTTAAACGTATAAAAAAACGTGGAAACGGTGAATTACTACAATAGATTGAAAATGATTATTAATTAAACTATGACTGAAATTGTCG